TCCTCCTTTTGTTTCTGTCACAGAGCTATGGATTTACGAGGACCCATGACAATAGGACCCTGTGGCAACCATCCTAAGATAAATCTTGCTTGTACAAACATTTTCAAAACAGGCAGAATATCTGAGTCATGCAGGAAAGCATGATGCACTCCTGTGGTTCACCTTTCAGTTGAAACTCTCTGCACTCAACCTGTACGTTCATGGAAGCCAAAGAGCAAATAATGTGACAAATATAAAGGATTTATTCCAGGAACTGAGTAACTGCTTCATGAGTCAGACTGGAATTAACCTGCAAGGCTGCACAGAGGTTAAATTCAAAGAAGGTATTTCAGAGATGATGTTAGGATTAATACAAGTCTCTTTGCCCACAGAACTGTGAAGAGCTGAACATTGTCTCTAGAAGCACAAATCCAAGGACATCGGTTGCTGCTTCGCTTTGTAATTTGTCTCCAACTCCAGGAACAGCTGACCTGCTCCACTGCAGCAAGCACATATCCACTGCCAGCACTGAATGCCAAATCAGAGCGACAAAACCTCCTTCACACTCATTTGCCCTTTTTCCACCAAGATTCCCACATCACACTCCTTAGAGCTGCGCTGGTGTTCACAATAGCACTCTCTTTTACCTTTTTATCAGTACAAGCCACTTGTTGCCAGCCTAGCTTTTTCCTATTGAAAGCACATTTGTCAGGCAGCCAAGGGTTTGAAAAATAAAAATGTCCAGAGGGCGACAGTCTCTGCCTCCACATAACCACACCCAAAAGATGCTCTTGACAGAAACTTCCTCCCAATGAAGTTCTCCCCTCTCTCAAGTCCTCTCTGCAAGAGAAAGCTGGGCTAGTATTTCACACTATTTTTGAAACTATGAGGTTAAGCAAATATGAGCCTCTACCACTGTTCTCTTAGTTCTGATGAAATAGCGTATTTTGATTTTCCTTAAAACTCACCATACTTAAACATTAAAAACGCCTCTAAAGTAAAAGAGAGCATTCACACATTTTCATAACAGCTCAGAAATATCAAATGGTATAATACCAGATAAAAACCATTACTGCAGTAGAATCATGCAACATTTTCATAAGCAAGATGCAATCCCAGCACCTCAATTTCATGGAGTAAGCTGCACCTCAGACAACGCTAACTTCTCATATAGTAATTTGTCATAGATCACAGTAATACTTATTCCCCTTTACTCTCCTTCCCCTCAAAAAATCAGTAGATGAATAAACAAGGATGCACTGCAGACAGGTAAATTCAAAAATTTTGATGAGCAACAGTAGTCAAGTTTGATTCTTTCTCTCCCAGTGCTCCACTCAATCTTGGCATTAGAAATGTAAGATATCAAAAGGGAAAAGTGAGCAGTAAAAAAATGCAATGACAGGGTACTTGAAGTTTTGTAGAACATTTTCCATCACTTCAGCAGATGAGAAAAAACAGGAAGCTCAGGCATGACATTTCAGTAAACTGTACTACTTGAAGATTATTTGTAGCTAAAGTATGATGTTTTAAAAATACTGTGTAGTAAATGCCATATTTTCAATGGATTTGATTTCTATGTGAAACAGGAAAAATGTCACACTTTCTTTAGAGAGAAAAAAATGTTGGAGAATAAGTATTCTTGTTTTATTAAAAAAATAAACCTTACAATGCAGAAGGGTGCCATGCACAAGGGGCACACAAGAAAAATACTGTGATGCTGAAACTTAATGAATTTACAGTTCTTACTATTCCTACTTATTAGTGCTCTGAAAGTAATCAGAATAGGAACAAAAAGCCAAACCATAAATGCCTGATTTCTCCTGGGTAAAGTGGTAGTTAAACTGCAGGGAATTTATTTTAATTCCAGCAGCAAGCAGGGGGGCTTGGGAGACCCCACATCAGATTAGCAGCAATGTTTTACAAATGGGCACTGTTGAATTCCCCTGCATCCCAGTTTTGGAAGCATGTTTCTATGGTGAACCCGAGGAGGAACGTTACATGGCCCTGCCTCCCTCTCTCCCAGCTTTCAGGAAGCTATGAAGCTAATTTTCCCCAGCAGTATTCTCTGAAGGAAAAGTTCACTTCTTGTGAAGGTAACATGTATTTTTTAATTATTATTATTATTTTATGCCTCCCCAGGGAAGGTGAGGAGGGGGGAGCTTCCTTGCTCAACAGAGAAAGAAATTTTCCTGTATCAGTGCCAAGAATAGACACCCTAAATTCAGCGATCCTAATCTCCAGCCATCCATCAGCAGCAGGGTGGGACCAGCTGATTCAAGTTTTCTATTAGCTGGTGACTTTGTGTACTAAAATAAGTCTCTGTACCACCCAATTGTTCCTGCTGCTGTGCTCTGCAAAGTACAGTCAGCCAGCAGCTACCTTGGCTGTAAGCACTTCCCCAGCAGGCCCTTTATACCTGGCACCATCCTCTTCCCACCAACCCTTCCAACTCCCTGAGTGCTCCTGGGACTTAACACCACGAACCTTTCCTGCAGTATTTCCTCCTTCATCCCTTCAGCATGCATCAGGGAAAATGCCAGCTGCAAGTATCTGCATCACCACAGCAGGCAGAAAGTGGGTACAAACAAAGCTGCAATGGCAATTGTGCCTTTACAGGACCAATTAGTATCACACACACAGTGATCAAGGCACATATATAGGGCACACTGTGGTACAAAGGCAGGATAAAATAATAATCCTCCCTGATCTACATTTTAAAAGGCACAGGAAGATAAAATAGTTCACTAACATAGCCTAATAAATTATTCTGTTGGTCAAATATTAAATAAAGCATGTTCATTGCTTTTTGTTTGGGCCAGAGTGTAATTGATTAATATTATTCCATTATTTACACAGTAAAATCTAGAGCAGAATATATAAACCAGCAAACATTTTGAAAATAACACTAAATAAAACCAGTTAAAATTGTATGACCAGGACTAACAGCAAACTGTCAACCCCAACAGACAACTCACACAGTTGGTACTCTGCAAGTTTTTAAGTGCCATAGTTCAGTGCCAGGTATAGAGAGCACAAATAAAGAATGTGAGACCAGTTCACCTCAGTTAGAGAAAGGCATCTGTCTCCATGGCTCACACAAACTTCCATTCCCATTGTTATTGTAAGCCAGGTCTCACTGGATCCTGGCAGCATGGGCCATGCACAAGTGTATCAATCTTTAGCCAAGATAAAGGCAAAAGTTTCATGAGTTCAGAAAGCTCCTGAGAGCCAGAGGAATGATAGACACATATTTGATCTAGAGCTTCTCTGCAGATTTGAGCCCAGAACACTTTGGACTCCAGGTTTGGATTCAGTGTCTCCATCAGCCAGAGAGAAAGGCAGCTGGACATGTCAAACAAAGGAGACAATACACCTGCTACCACAATTGTGAAGAGTGACTGAGGATTTTGGGAGTTTCAGGTAACTCATATAAACAAAGATAAAAATTCAGAAAGCTACAGACATCCCCATCCTAACTACCTCCCTTTCTAATGACAAAACTGGCATTCAGAAAACCAACACAATGCCATAGGTCTGTCATTCCTTTGAAATAAAAGGCCTTCAAAATCAGAAGTGAACATATCAGTTTCTCCTTTTCTCCTTTGAATTTACTTTTTTTTTTTTTTTTTTTTTTAGAGCTAAAAATTCAATAGAAACCTCAGGAAAAAAGGGGAATTTTTTTTTTTTTTTTTTTTTTTTTTTTTTTTTTTTTTTTTTTTTTTTTAAGAGCTAAAAATTCACTAGAAACCTCAGGAAAAAAGGGGAGGAAATACAAATTAGCTTTCGATCAATTAATTAGTGAGGCATTTTGAAGAACCTCACTGATCATGCCCTAGCAGGGATCTTCCTACTATTAAATTAGTAAAGCAAACAAACAGTATTCAAGGAGTCTGCATTATACATGGCCAACACAGTATCATATGCCAAGTGTTTAGTCTCCTATAGCAAATTAAGGAGAGATACTATGCAATCCTCAACTCAGCTTTATGGAATTTTGAAAAAAAGAATGCTAAACATTTTGTTCAAACAATGAAGTTTTGAGTTAGGAAAATCAAAATTAAGAGAGTTCTTTACCCAATATTTAATAGATCATCTATCATACCAATACATCAACTAAACAAATGCTGAGCTTTGCATCAATTCAGTTTACTCAGGAGTAAACAATTAAGTCACTTCTACATTGTAGATCTCCACCTAAACCATTCATCATGAAAAATTCCACTGTGCAATGTATCAACAAGTGATGCTCCACTGCTGACTGAAGGGAAACCACCACCAAGGCCAAACCTATGCCAGCAATGTAACACCAACCACTGCAGACAGAGCATCTCTCCAAAACCGATGGCAAAGTACAAACCAACCCCCTTTCATTTGCACTGTAGCTGCTAACTCCTCCAGAAAGCAGCTCTGTTTTCTGCTACACTGAGATGGGTCAAACACAAGCAGATGATGATGATAATTTTTATTACCTGTATGACACAGAAATAACATACATTAGGCATCTCCATGTCATGAACATGATTCCAACTTCAACATGTTATCACTTGTAAGGCATCCTGCAGGAAATTTCTTTTTTCCTACTAAAATAAATGCTCTTATTTATGAAAATGTAAAGATACAAAAAAGTAATTACTTGTGTTACTTAACCAAATGTTACTTTCTTTTCCACTGTCTTTACATTTTCAATGCACTGCAGACTGTGTAAAATACACCAATGGAAACCTGGAAGTTTTGTCACTTAGGATGGTTCCTCTGGGAGGAACACACTGATCAGACTCTGAAAGGATCAGTGCAAAAACAGCACCAAATTACTCACCACTGGATTGCACTGAATAAACCTGTCACTTCAAACAGTGATTTCTGTTTGCAAGCAGACCAGATGTAATACACTGGGTAATACAAACATTACAAAAACCTGTGTAAGGGCTCTGGAACATAGCAGTGACAATTCTGTAGCCCTCCAACATATGCACAGGACAAATATTTCCAGTTGCCACATACAGCATAGAGAGACAGCTTACCCTTTCCACTTGTCCTTCTTTGTGCTTCTGTTTGTACACTTTCAGCTTTGGAAGGAAAGTCTCTGTGTAGTTCTTGTCTTCCATGCCTTGAAGCAGTACCCCATGGAATGCCAGCCTGCAGGTATTGGCATGAATATCTGTATCCAGCTTAGAGCCAATCACAAGGCACAGTTTAGGACAAGTGACTGGTTTTTCAAACTCCAGCAAAGCCCACTGCTGTTTTGGGAGCTGCACTTCTCCTGTCTGGTCATTTTCTTTGTTCTCCTCTGAAGAAAGTGCGTCCTTGGACAAATATTGCTCTTGATAAAGATAATCTTTTTCAAAATTGAACACATTTTCTTGAATTTCTTCATTGAAGTCAGCAGGGGCTGGACTGAAAAACATCACTCTTCCCATAACTGTCTCGTGACCGACTGTGATGTGGAACTTGGCCTTAGTCTGAAGGGATCCTCGAAAATACTGAATTTTCTTCAAGGAAATGATGGCAGCGTGGATGGTGTGAAGTGAATCTGGGGTGCAAATCAGGCCTCGTTCCAGCAGCTTGGGATCAAACTGGGTCACGCAGACACCTACTCTGTCACCCTGCATTGCATAAGTCACAGGAGTATGGAACATCTGCATGGACTTGACCCTCTTTGTCACCTATGGATGAAAGGGGAACAAAAAGAATGAAACAATTAATTGCACATGAGTGCACTCATATGCTTATTATGCTTATGTCACATGATATCTGCTTATATAGTGATGTATGAGCCACACATGACACCCTGCTGTCTTGTAAGGCAACTGACCTTCTAGAAGAGTCCAGAACTCAAAAAGTAGAAGGCCAACAGTCTGAGAACTCCATCACTTAAAATGACCACATATTTGAGCCCCCTAGCTTATTCTTCTTCTGTTCATGAGACTGAAGGTTGTCATGACCACAACTAAGTTGATATTTACATCATTTGTGCTCTATCTGCAAATAATCAGATATACCCACACCATGGAATAGCTTAAATATACTCCCTTGAGCATCTGCAGCATCAAAAGTATAGCACTGCAATACCCATTCATGCACCTATGTGTCTGCTTTCCCACCTCTTCCATGAAAATCCTTTCACACATCTCTTTGACATGGTTGAATAAACTGTAAAATGTGCAGAGAAAAAAACCCCTTGTATTTGCACAGCACCAAGCACAATGAACTCATGAACCATCACTACAAAATAATCAGTAACACAAAAGCCCGCCCTTTCCTAGTCTATAGTATTCCATAGACTAAAAAATAAAATCCTCAAAGCTTTCTTAGGAAGATTTGAATGCTCATGAACATACAGCTAGCATTGCTGTCACTAAAATGTGGGCCTCCATATCTCAGGAATATCATAGGAAAAGTGAAACACCAATCACTACTTATACTAAAATTTCCCAGATGCTATCAAAGTTTGGCCTTAATGAGCTTGCTATTGTATTACTTATTTCAAGGAAAGAAGAATGAAATGATAAGCTTTTAAAGATCAGTCTAGGCTCAGCTTGATCAGACTAAACTGGTCTAGTTTAACACAGATTCATTTTTGGCTTTTTTCTTTTTCAGTTCAGCAAACCTTTACCCTTAGTAAGTAACCCCATCCCCTCAAGTTTAATGTAACCAAAAGTTTTTTCTGGTAATATGTTTATGGTGCCACCTGTTGCATTCCTACTAATGCTGGATGCTTGGATAGGTAACCACTCTGCTTCAAGTCCCTATATTAGATAGCTTTTAATACTGAAATGATCTCTTTGGCAATTTAAAAAAAAAATGTCCCAAATAAATATTTTGTACTTGGACAAGATTCCTTACCACAGAAGAGTTTTACACAGCATTTTTGAAGGGCTGAAACCTCAACACTCAGACCCAAGAACTGAACTCTTCATGAGAATGCTCAATTCCAGAGATAATTTTTTTAGTATGCTTTTATCTACATGCAATAGATTAAACTGTGAATGTGTACAGAACAACAACATTGCTAGGACAGATCTCAACTCTCAGCATAATTTCTTCTTCCATCTCCCTCTACTTATTATCCATTCTACAGCTATCAGAAAGGTTCATGCCAAATGCTACTCTGCAACTCCCAGCATTCAAGCTTTTACTTTCTTACTCAGTTGAAACTATTTATCATCTAACTCCTGAAAATAAAAAACCAAAATATGCAAGCACTGATGAAGAGGATTTCAAACCAAAGGACTGGACTCAGCAGAGCTGGGCTTCATCCTCAGATGTCACACAGCTTCAGAGCACTGCATTTAGGCTGGACAATTCAGAACAGTCTAGGGAACTTAATTATTTTCATCATAGAGCTATTTACTTAGGAATTCATAATACTGAAAATATCAGTTTTTTTCTGCATGTTAGTTGCAACGCATAAGTGGAAACAAAATGATGTTTTTCACATTCTCCTTTTCCACAAAGCCTGCTGCCCTGTATGGAGGACATCTCACATGGCTCCAGATAATCTGTCTATGCCTATTCCCAACATCACCTGACCCAGAGGGGAACAAATTGCAGAAACTTAGATCAAAATAGAAGAGCAGATGAAAACTCTATTGGCTGAACTAAAACCTTCAGTAACTGAAATATAAAGAGGTCTCCAAACAAGTCAGCAAAAAATGGTCACAGGCAATATACAGAAAGCTGTTAAAAAAAAAAAATATAGAAAATCTAGCAGCTATATGCCTTCTGGAAAACAACAAAATCCTATATTCCTTTTGGAAATCATAATTATACAAATAACAATACCCATGAACTTCACCACTGTGAATATTGTTCGGGTTCCCTGAGCCTCTGGCTGCTAACCAAAACCAAAAGAAACACCCTGTTACAGATTATAATGTTATTATTACAACATTTTTCAAATCAAATGCCACATCAATGTCTGTGAATTCTTGAAGAATCCACAAAATATGAGAAAGGAGATCAAGAGGTATGTTCACGTAAGAGAAAAAACCTTCACTAAAAATGCCTGAGCCCCAGTAGTTTGTTAAGATACTAACTAATGTCAAAACAGACTTAAAAGGCCATTGTAAATACTTGGTAGTTTCACTTTCAAGCATTTTTGTACTCAAATAAACATTCATTATCCCTTTAGCTAAACCTCCTCAACAATATTAACCATACAGATACATTGGAGAGAGAAACAATTTAGCATTTACCTCCAGCTTTTACTGACTTTTCAAGATTGTATTTTTAAAGGCTGGAAGTAGAGGGGCTTGAATCAAAACTTTCCCAAACCCTTCTTTCTTCCATCCACTACCCCTCCTTCTCCAGTTTCATATAGTTGCATCAATGGTGATACAAGTAATGTTGAAGGACATCAAAAAGAAAAATGAAATATAAAAAACCCAAAGTTTTCTAACATAAGTGTTTCAAAGACATTACAAGCACTACAAGAATGAATCTGTAGTATGAAAAGTACCAGCCCAAACAATTTCGAAAGACCTCTGTGATTTCACATGTGATAACACCAGCAGTAAATCTTTCCTCTTCTATAACCATGGATGGGGTCAATAAATTGGCAAGAACTAAGGAATCTTCCAGCACTGTCACTCCTCAAAACAAAATTGGAACCAGAAGATGCATAAGAGATCTGTCTAGTTTTCTATTTTAAATGAAGCCACAAAGACTTCATTATTATTATTATTATTCCAGTTTATAATATTATTTTTTAGAAATTACCCACCTAAACAGATGAATGAAAGTATTACAGAAACAGTCTTTGTATATGAATCTGAAATATCTTTTACATAATTTAGATAACATTTAAGACTAAAAAATGCGATTAGAAAACACAATTGTGTGCATGTACTCAGAACACATATTGGCTTTTAATTAGGCATCCATGAAAGTTTCCTCAGTCTTATGCCTACTCTCTCCTCTTAATTTAGCTCAAATGATTAGGCACATCTGACATGCAGCCCATAAACAGTGATCAGAGGAGAATGAACAAGTACTTCTGAAATATTCACTCCACATGATTAAACTTTCTTCATTGTGATTTACAGTTCTCAACTATAGATCACAAAGCTGGATTGTATCAGAATATAAGCTGTGTTCTGCTACATTCCTCAGTGTTCATCTACATTAAACAACACACAATTGCAAAGCATCACTTCCTGTGACAAAAGGCCTGCTGTAATTCCTATGTGTAAGATAAACATTGCAGTGGAGTATGGACACAAAAGTATTTTCCAGTGTTGAATGAAGCTCCTGTTGATACATTTGCTCATGGTCTTCACAGTTTCAAATGCCACTTCACAAACAGTTTGGATCCTGACTGATTCTCTTTCAGAAAACATTATCCTACTAACTGAAAACACATGGAAATTTGCAGAATCATGTAAAGATCCACCCACCCCTGCCCGCTCCTAGCCAAAGCAGGTTATCTGTGCTGCTCCCAACTCTCTCCCAGAAGGAAATTGTGACTGTGCTCATCAGAGCTCTCAGAATCACCTGATTTCCTTTTAGCTGGGTCTGGCTTTCACACAGGTCTGCTTGTCCTCAGACACGAGCAGGCAATGCCATTGCATCACTCAACCTACTGAGAATCACCACTTCATGCTCATCTATACCCTATAGTATACTATATCATCTATAACCATGCAGATTATTTAATCAGCCCATCTATATTGGCTCTAATTATTAGCTATTATTGTATCTGAAATTTCCATAAACCTATCAGAGAAAGAACACATTCAAGCCCATTTCTTTTTTTCCCCTCCTGTTCTCAGTGCCAGAACTGCCAAAGGAGCACAGAGCACAGCATCGGAACTGAGCATAACCTCTGTTCCAAGAGCATAATGTTTGTAGGAGCTAGAATCTGACCAGAACAGAGTGTGACTGCCGGGTGGGTTAGATCACCCCAAGTGAGTTGGAGTCGCATCTCTTTCAAAAGGCCAGACATGGAACCAGCAGAGAAGTGAATCAGGGAGTTGGTCTGCACCCACTGTATCAAATAACAACAGCCAGAGCAGCTTTAAATCACTGATTTCCTGTTTTCTGAGCAGACCATGAACATCAGTACAGTATTTCATTCAATTACACTCTGATCCTGACTGACAGAGACATTTGCCCATGGTTTAAAATACTCCAAATGTAGGGGTTTTATTCAAGAGACTCAAGTACATAAGTAAAATTCATCTTTATTTTGTCTGGCCTTTAAAATACAAACCGAGAAGCAAGCACTGAAAAGGGTGCAACTGACCCCCAGTATTAGATTTGTTTCTCTTATGCATATCTAGTTTCCCTATGTAAGGGATTCCTACAAGCTATAACAGAGTTCTAAGTTTTCACATATTTTCTTTAGCTTTACAGCAATGGATTTTTCAAGTAGGGAGTTGGGACTGATCACTCAGTTCACCCCTCCACCACCAGAACGAGGTAAAATACTTCAGAGCACTGTCCTGGGCAACAGGAATTTGTAACCAAGACCAGCTATGACAAATATCTTTGGCATTTCATTGCATTTATTTCAAGAAACCCATTTTAGTTCTCAAAATGCTGTCTGGAAAACAACTTTATCTTCTATGGTCCACAAAAATTACCCAAGGCCCATTTTAGCAATCCACTCAAAGTGGGAAAATTAGGCCTTCAGACACAGAAAGTGAACAATATTGAGTGCAAC